GTTTGGATTGCCTAGATCATTTAATAACATAAGGGTGCATTGCACTCATTTCTTGAGACAGGCAATACAAGACCCAATGCTACAATACTCTTTAGATGCCCCCTTTCCTCCTGTCACCTCAATGCATTTAACCCCATTCACCAAGGCAGAGTAAGAAGGCTGGGATTTAACTTATTTCAGTATTTGTAAAGCACCAGGATTAGTTCTCATTTTATCCCCTCTCACTGCCCGCCCTCCGCAGACCACGGGGATGCAGAGCTGCAGAAGGCACCCCTGGGTCAGCAGTGGCAGAGAGGGTGCAGTCCCAAAGGTACCACTGCCATGCCAGCACAGCTGTGCCCTGCACATCCTCCCCCATGAGGGTGCCCGTTCTTCCATAGCTTGAGGCTTTTGCTCTGCGTGAGGGACTCTTGGCAAAAAGCCTGAGCAGCCCTCCCCTTCCCCCTCCTCCCCTTCTGCTGGAGGAAGGGGACTTGGGGCATGCACTGGGCTGCCCATTGCCCCAGCGGGGTGGCCAAGATCAGGGGCTTCCTCTGCTAACGGGGAAGCGCAGAGAGGGGAGCAGCACTGTCACCAGTCCTGGGTGCACTGACCCCAAGTGACCACAGCGTCCTGCTGTGCCCGCAGCCCCAGCACACACAGCGCAGAGGTTCATGAACTGGAGGTTTGCAAGGGCTGTGAAGTTCATTGGGAGCCCAACTTGCTCCCAAGTGGCAGTAAAAAATTAAGTTTTTGTTGATTTGTGGACTAAACACCCCAAGCGGCATCACAAAAGGGACAGTTGGCACACACAGCTAACTCCCAGCTTTGCAAGAAACATACGCTTCCCTCCCCGAGGCTGCAGGTTGTCCCCCTCCCCAGAAGCCAAGTCAGAGGGTACCCACTGCCCCAGAGGTGTCGGGGACTCCTGCCTCCCAGGCACACCCAGGCTGTATCCACCAGGCAAGAACAAGCACAGCTAGGATATGCCCCACCACACACGCTCCCCTTCCCTCCCCTCACGTGCCAGAAGGATTACGGGGCCGGTGCAGGGAACTTCTTGTCCTGCCGGGGCATGAACCTTCTTCCCCCAGTCTCCAGGAGGCACAAAGCAGCTCCGAGTGGTTGCAAGCAGACAGGCTTTGTACAGAGTTCCCACAAGCATCGCTGCTTTTATTTAAAGCAGAAAACACAGGATGTTACAGATGAGCGGAAAAATGTGAACTGCCCCACTGCCTGCAGAGCCCCTCAGACTGGAGAAGGCTTTTCTGAAGTCAGAGGGTCTCCAGACAGGATTAGGAAAGCACACAGCATAGCTTTTTTTAAATTTTTGCCCTGCTTGGCTGCAAGCTGCACCTCCCCACACCCCCCACCCAGGGTCCCGTACCTTCCCTCCCACTCACAGCTTCCCACAGCCCTTTTGTATTTGACTCCTCAGAGGCCTTTTTAAAGCTCCTTTTGTCAGCTCCATCTCTTTGAAACACTAGAAAGCCACCAGCCAGAAGCCTGGCTCCGGCTCCCTACTGCCAGTGTTGGCAGCAGCTTGAGGGCTCCTCTGCCAGGCTGTGCCCCCCCACAGGAGCCCCTGGGCAGCCCCAGCCCAAGTGGGACAAGACCCCCAGCCACCTCTGCCCCTGCTCAGCTTCACACAGAGGCCTTGTACCAGTCAGGGGCTCAACAGCCTGCACAGCAACTGGTTTATAGCACCCACCAGCATCCACAAAATGCCAGAGTTCCCCAAACTCATACCTGTTACAGGGTTTCCTTACACAGCTCTGGGGGAGAAATCATTAAAAACATCTCATTCTGTTCCTGGTTTGATGATTATGCAAGACAAAGAAGGCCACAGGCAGATCCTTTTTTTTCCCTAGTGTTAGCATATGTTTTGTATTCTTCAAGCTAAACAACCACCAGCCAACCTACCTAACATGTTTATTTTAATAAACTGGAGACCTCTCAAACATTTAGTCTCAGAAAACCAGCACTCATGGCTTATTTCATCATCCACAGGGACCTCTACTGATGCCACCTACCTTGCAGCAGCCAGAGAACCAAAAAGCAGGAGCAGACCCCAGCACAAGGCAACCACCACATCCATTCTGCAGAGCCCAGGTACCTTTAATGGTGCTATGCTTAATTTATACCCTGGAAACACCTGGCCCAGAGTGCCTTTTAATTGATCACAGTTAGAAACTGTTGATTGGCTTGCCCCTAGTGTCAGTGGCCACAATGACATGACCCAGTGAAAAGAGAGGCAGTTACTATTTTTTAACCACAGTTCAATTTTTTGAGCATGGTAAAATAGCTGAGCAGTGTATTGAATGAGATAGTATTAGTCAGATGCTTAAGCACCTGGGTCCTTGATCTTGTGCTTTATAAAGTGCTCTGAGCTGTGCTGCAATTGCCTATAAATACGCTGCTGATCATGCTTAAAGGGACACTGTCAAGGTTGGGAAGCCCACAGTTTGACTTAGTAAAGTGACATCTTAAAGTAGTTTTATTCTCAGCATTCCTAAATTACCAGCCTGCAGTTTTTATCATGCTTGTTTTTATCCATCCAGCTCCAGCTCCTAGGATTAGTAAGGTTAGGGGAGAATGGTCCCTTTTGAAGCAATGGCCCAGGCATAGAACTAGGATGGTAGAGGTCCCATCCTGACCATGCCAGTGAAAGCACTTTGCTGTAAACCCTTTTTTTTCCTCATGTGTAGGGGCATGACCTCTATTGCACTTATGGTTTGCAATAAGGTCACTCCTTGCTGAAGCAACGTCTTGTGAAAGAAAGGTTCAGGAAAGAGCATAGGGATCAGGCCTGGGCAAGTCTGCAGCTGCACGAAGCGCCCGTTTTCCCTGGTGTCCCTTTGTCAGCCAGTGGTCTTGTCCTCGTTGAGCTAAAGGAGGGGGGGATGCAAAAAGAGTGAGTCAGGGAACAGAGTTAGAAAGCTGGTGAGGAGCTTGCAGCTTCCCCTCAGCCTCAGCGGCGCTGCCAGGATGCAGAGGGGTGACGGGATGGGGAAATCCCAGGGACAAGAGCCCTTCCCCGCACTGTCCCTTCTGCCAGCAGCTCCGTGGCTGGAGCCCAGCGGCGGGGGAACTGAAGCCAGCTATTGAGGGGTTTTGTGATCTCAGGCAAAGAGCGGTACTGGGCTTTCTCTTAAGGACAGAATACAAATTGCTAAGGAGTGAAAGGTGGCCTGAGATTTTTCCTTTTATGAAGGGCCTGATTTGTTTCCGAGCTGAATAACTCGGCTCCCTCCAAGCGGCAGTCCTCCAGCACACTTTGTACTCACGGGAAACCTGCAATGCCACAATAACCAAACCCATAGGTGCCAGTAAATGGAAAAGTATGGCTCAGTGGTGCCAGGGACAATGCCGGAAAGGGGTCTGCTGAGGGGAAACGGGGAGAAACTGCAAGCAAAGGCTGTGCTGATAGTGCCAGGGTGTCTGCGTAGAAAGGCTTTTTTGGAAGAGAAGATGTGGCCTTAGCCCCCTTCCCACACCCTGCTGGACTCTGTGATGCAAGGTTTGAAGACAAAGCTCTTGAGTTTCCCAGGACACAGCCTACAGCCAGGCTTCACATTCCTTTTTGCCTGGGAGGTGAAAGATTGACAGATACCCCAGACGTGAGGCAGCATATTGGATGTGCTCATCCATCTCAGGTGCGTGTTAGTCACAGGACAGACGCTGCCTACACTCTAGGAACTTGAGGGAAGCCCTGGCAAGGTGTAAAATAAATCTCAGAACCAAAAACCAAACAGAAAAGAAAGGTCTCCAGAGCCTGGGAAAAAGGCACACCCGCAGCAGCCATGCCTAAACCAGGGACCGGTGAGCACTCGTAGCCGATAGCATCACTTGATGCCGCAGTTCCTCAAAGAGCTCTTTTCAATTACAGCAAAGTGAAGAAAGCAAAAGAAAAAAAAATATACTTGGGCTGAAGATCCCACAGAACAGAAAAAAGCAAGTCTAATGTCACTCTGACGACAGATCCAGCTTGAAGTTTCAGCAGGTGGGAAGGTGCTCCCCATGCTTCCAGGCTGTCTCTCACCCCGGTAAGCCTTGCCGGGTGTGAATATGGATGTGGATACGCACTTGCAAAAAGTCTCATGCATCTAACACTAAAGAATGCATTTTGAGCTCTAACAGTTACAGAGAAACACTTGAAAGTGCAACTTGCATATATTTTAAGAGTTTCCAGAAAGGACAATAAAAGCAAAATGAGCTCAAAGTCTGCACTTTAAAAATCTCATGCTTTTTAGACAAAGCTCGTATCTCCTGATTCGTTTTGAGCTGACTCAATATTTTTAAATGGTTGTCCTTGAGAGCTGTAAAACTTGTTTTATTTTTTGTAGTTTTATTCCATAGAAATGCTTAAAAAGCAATAAAGTCAATCTCAATAGCTTTGCTTAAATCCATTATCAGATTCCTGTTGTGGGCATACAGGGAGAAACTGAGTAGGAAATTGTAAGGGATTCTTGTAACAGTAGTTCCATTGTTTGTACACATATATACCATAATAATAACAGAAAAGAAATAGCAACCGCAGCCTTTCAGTTACAAAAAATACCCAGAGCCCTTTAAAAATACATGTGTGTATTCTGTGTTTACTCCAATTACCAGTGTTGTTAGGGACTGGTAGGTTCTCAATGCCGTATCTCCCAACTGATCTATGGAAGTTTTGTCTGGGCTTCTGCAAACCTGTGGTTGTGCCTGATGTTCACTAAGAGGAACACAAGTTCCATGAAAAGGTGAACACCTGGGAGCTGAGATCAGGAAACATGAATTAATTTAATGACAGTGCTTTATAATGGACCATATACATTTTCCCACTGTAATTGGTATATACGTTCAACAATTGTATTGTATGTCAGTGCACGTTATTCGGCACAGCTGCTAGAGAGGCATTGCTGAACTGGTGTTTCTCTTCCATGACAAACACCTATTAAGCAGTCAGCATAAACTCTTCTTGTTACAGCCTCTGACATCACCCTCGGGGCAAGCGGACACAGAACAGCAATTGCTGAATTGCGTATGAAAATTATAGTTTTATTGTCTATACAAGTGAAGGTTTAACTCCAATTCCTGCTCGAGTCAGCGCTGTTATAAAGGAGCGATTCTTTCAGGGAACAAACAAGCACAGTACACCATTGTAATCCAAGGAACAGGCACTATTTATGTATTGGAAAGCCTTGTGCACAATAGTGCTAACACTCTAATGCCCCAAAAGCCACTCTTTTAGCAGCTGTAGAGAAAAAAAGCATGACTAACAAGATGCCATACAGAGTCAGATACAGTTTTTTTAGAACACAAATGGAATCGTCCCATTTGTTACAACTCAGTTTAATATGCACGACTCGTAAGTAGGGATCATGTATTTAATGTTTATATATGCATTTTCTCCACCGTAGCGTTCAAAGGCTTCCAGTGTCTCTTGAATCAGAACTCCAACATTTTCACGCTTCTGCTGGCTGTAGTCTATCCCATCGCCTGAATTAACTGGTTAATAAAACAGAAAAAAACAAGAACTCTATTAAATTCACTGTTACGCTTTGAAATAGTGACATAGGAAATTTCAGTTGCTGGTCAGTCCCTGTGCCTCTATTAGAAACTTCACTCCGTGACATGAAACAGAGCTGAATTTGAAGACTGGATGGTTTTGGTATCTCTTTAAGGGTCTGCTCAGGTTCCAACTTTGCATGCATTCAGAATTTGTTTATCTATGCATTACTTCAGTATCTTAGCAAAAATACTAATAAAAATAAAGAAAACACATTATTTAATAAGACAAAGATGGACTCTTACACAATAAATTTCTTAAGACCATGACTTCTTTTTTTCTAACATTGCTTGTTTAGGACAAAATTCTACTGCAAGGTGCATAAATGCCTATCTTCAAAATGTGACTTAAGCTAAACTTCTTATGGTTTAAAATCTTACATAGGTATTGTTTTGGGATTGTTCCATGTTAGATGTCATATTCACACACTCATGTTGTTTCTGATAGAGGGGATGTCATGTGGCCTAAAAGAGATCTTTGGAGTATAACATGGCACTCATTGCATTTCGCTCGCTGAAAAATGTGTAAAATTAAGTCAATGTCAAAAGGACAAATTGCAGCTCCCAGATGCAGTAACATTTACTGTTGCTTTCTCTAACATGGACTAGCCAGGGTGACATACACTCATACACACACAGCATAATTCCTTAAAAAAATCAGTATGAACAACTGTGACAACAAAAAAAATACGAGAATAAGAAATAACGTCAACCACAATGGTGCTGAGAGATTTAAAGGAGGAAAATATATTTCATTTTGTTTTAAAACAATATTCTGAAAGCTATCTTAATATATGGTATATTCCAGGACATACATCAAAGATAATTCAGAAGGAGCATACTGTTCTTAGCTCGGGCGCCGTGGCCAGGCGGAGCGGCTGTCGCACTGCTGCAGGGCAGTCCACACAAAACCAGTCAGTGGTCTCACTCCGGGCACTGGTGGCGATGTGCCCATGTCATACATTTAACATCTCAAATAGCGTCGCTTGCTTACTGACACTCTCAACCGGCAGGCAAAGGACACATTTGTCAAAACGACGCAACCAGCTTCTGGGGTAGTGCCTGCCTTTCACGTGAGAAACACAGCGCACACAAGGGCCAGGGTAGATTTTGCTCCAGCTGCTGCCCCAGGCCGATGGGGTGTACCTGTATGACTGCACCCATCCTCACATCCTCTCCTGGACCTATGTGTGAGGATCTGGATTAAACGTTTGTGACTTTGCTACCAGCAAAAACCGAAGAACATGGTCATGAAGAAAGAGCTGATGAATGTGGGTAAAAATAATCCTTTTGCAGTATTTTCCTGTAAAATACCTGATTGCACTCCAAGTTAATTATGTGTATATCAGTTTTTCAAACTCTTCACACACATTTCTGTCACTTTGGTTTTTGTAAAATCTTTACACAAATACAGATGTGACATACAAGGACTGGGCTTCTGAGTGGAAAGGCAGTAATATTTTGGTGATGATTACTCTTAAGCACACGAGTGCTTTCCTATATCTTATCTATTTATTTCACTGACATGAAAAGCCAGGGTTGTGACATCAAAATTTGCTACAATTGAGTTACTGTAATGTTAGAAAGAACAAATTACGAGAGTGCATAGAAAACACCAAGAGCTATTACATAAAAGGACTGACTTATACAAAATATTAATGCAAAAAGAAAAGCACATCACACACAATTGAGTGCAATTTAGAGTAAACATGCTTTGCTCTTGCAGAAAACAACCGAGATCAACTGTGCCTCATCACCTGTGTTGCATGTGCACTGCCAGCACTCCCCAGAACACCTGGAGCTATTTCTGATTTCACCAGTTTGAGCAAAGGCAAACCTGAACCTTGACCTAAGCCTTGGCAAGTGTGTAAAGGAATTACTGACTTTCCAACTATTTCTCTATTATCTGTAATTTTAAGCCTACACACATGCTCTGCTAATGAGCTTACACAGCTTTCATCGTTCTTTCAAAGAAGTAGTAAAAAAATCAGCTCTCTGGAAGTCATGGCAATACATTGCTGAGCAAGTTTGGAGGAGGCCAACAAGACGTTGTGATAATGCTGGTAGCAGAGGTATTTTGCAGAATCTCATGCTACAGTCATTACTACAGAGCATAGCCTGTACAATAGATGATGCCTGAGATGCTTGATTAAAAGGTGCCTAAGAGAATGAGGCAATGATAAAGGAAATCATCTGCAAGGGAAGGCTGAATGCGTGATGTGCAGACTGTCATTACAATTTTTTTTTCGTACGGACCATCTGTGCTATATGAAGGTTTGTATCCTCAAGACAGCCATAATTCACATTAATGTCATGACACAAGCTACAACCAACAATACCAGAAAGGTTATGTCAGCATGGAGGTCACCTGCTAAGTACTAAAATAGCTCTCCTATGCAGCCATAGGAATTAACCCATCTTTCAGACAAAAGAGATAATCATTAACCCAACAGGGCAACATCCACTAAACGGATGAGTCAGAATGATCTGCCCAACGCACCTAAGGGTAAATATCTAGTCATAATAATAATTATGATTAGTTTGAAAAAAATAGCTGCTGCAGTATAGTGGTCTTCTCGGGTTTGACTCTATTTCCAAGTTAGTTTGCATGAGAAGCCAGCTTTGTCAGCCACAAAAATGTTGCATATGTAAAGTGTGAAGATGGATCTGATTCAAGCTCTTCATGAAGTTGTCCTTTGTGAGGGAGAATAAATCAACATGAAAATGCTAGGAAGCACATTTGTCATATCTTTGTCTCAAAGTGAAATGTCTAGCAAATTCAGCATGCATCAAGAACTTTTCAGAGCAAATGCTATTAGAAGAAACACATTGAAGGAATACTAACAGATCTAGAGGACTACAAGCAGGAAAAGATCTCATTTTCCCTTCCTGGATCACAAAGTTAGTTCCCAGTCTCCTAAATCATGCACCACGGGTTTTTCGGTCCTTCAAGTGAAGTGAAAGGCTTTGCACCTGTCAAGACCTGCGCTAGCTGATGAAATCACCCAGCACACCAAGGCCAGGAGCGGCACTCCTTGCCCTGCCGTCAGCGCTGCCGATGCCAGCTGCTGCAGCTGAGGAAAGCCTGCCCAGACCCTCAGGGACCAAACTCAGCCTTTGGCAGCGAATGGAGGAGGATTTGAATTTTGGTTTAAAGCATGGTTTGTATTTCAGTCTAGACAAGCTTCTCTTCACGATTCAGGATATTAAAGAAATTCTGGTGGTATTTGTGTTCCATCTCATTTCATTCTAAAATTTCACAAGGGTAATGCTACAAATATACAATTGTGTTGTATTAAAGAAGGACAAGCAAGCTTCTCTCAGTGTGTTAAGAGCTTGATACAGCAGTTTTTGAAGTCCTGGAGTGGATGAGAAAGGTAAACCAACCCTTAAAGCTCAGTCAGATCTGTTCTTATATTTGGACATTGGTTAGCATCTGAAAGTGTCCGAGATATTCTTTCAGTTTATTAGATTTCACTTCAAGGCAGGCCAGAGCTCACAAAGAGAGATTTTTAATCCCCCAAATATGTCAAAGTACCTCTCTATAAGTATCTCACAGATACCAGAGCTCGCTCCTGGTGGTGGCTGTTCCCAAGGTGCTGCTTCGTGGAGAGCACAAATTAAAACCCCAGTTTCATACACCTGTTCTTGTAGGGATGTTGTGCATCATGGAATATTCGAATTTCCCCAGATGTTAAATATCTGAGGAATGCTTAGCATTGGAGGACAGAATAATGCTTAAAAGAGATTTCTGAAGAGGCTGTGAAGGAAGCCCCATGTCCTCAACTTAAGCAATGTTTTTAATCAAATTGTAACTCAAAGGCCATCCCTTTATTCTTTACTGATGAACTTGTAAGTGCATATACACACATATCTATTTCTACTTGTCTTGGAACAAGTGAGTTTAGCAGAAATTTTTTTAACTACTGATAGTTAACAACAGAGATCTCTTGTATAATGGTTTTTGGAAAGACAGGCATCTTTCCTCCCTTTATGAATCTTGAGAAATGGAGATACTGAGAGGTAAAGTGACTTGCTCCAGGTCACGGAAGGGATCAGTTGCAAATCATGCTTTTTGTCTTTTTGCTGTAGATGATGAAAGTATTATTTATGGTAAAATATAACTATGGTAAAAATAATTTTTAAGCTGCTCAGTTCATCATAGTCAAACCAACAGGTAACTTCAGCAATTAAAATGATTACAGTAATCCAACATGCTAACCACTTAACTGAATAAGATTTGTACTTTAAAAAACCAGCAGTGATGGGATTGTAAAGTGCAGCTATATTTCTCAGTATGAAATCATATTTCTACAGAAAAGCCTGTCACAGAACAATATACAGTTAAGCAGTACAATCTAGCATTAAGTATGGTGGAAAATTTCAGGATTTTTTTCCTTCTAGGAGTCAGCATCAATACCAAGCAATGTATGGAAGCTGATCTCAGCTATAGATTGACTTACATCCATATCAGGGTTGACATCGCATCAGTTCACTTCTCAGGTACGGTTCAGACCGTAATTAACTTTTCAAAATCCTCTTGTTCGGATCAGTTTAATTGTCACAGAAGATGCTGGCTTCCTGACCGGGGTGGAAAATGAAAGCCCCTGATGAGTCAGAGCGGTGAGAGGGAGGAGAGCTCCTTTGCGCCGCTCCTCTCACCGTGACTCAGAACTGTGCTTTGAAACTGCCAGCTCCGGGAAGGATGAGGTAGTTGGGTTTCCCTGTTCATTTAATTTAAACTGTGTGAAAAGTCAGAGGGTAAGACTCTAAAACCCTCCTGTCTGCTAAGAAACAGAGGGACATTGCTGGTTCATTTCACCCAGGTGAAGGAAGAGCCACCAGGAGGTTACGACTTCTGGCCATTACCAACCCCGACAGAAAACCCTGTGTCCCATTCCTGAAGGCTCAGAGCAACATGAACACTAGTTTTAAATGTT